TAATTTGACCCCTGTGGATGTTTAAGGGTACAGTAGCCTACGTGTGGCAGCTTTTGTAAGCTCCAAAGAACATTTAATTAACTGCTTTAATAAATTAATAGAAGATTAATAACACTCTCTTTTATCAAAATAACCTTTTGTTTTATGTGCTGATGATTTCACTATATCCTGGTACGTGTGAAAAAGTCTGGTTCCTCTGGCTCGTCTTCATGCTCTTTAATGGCATTTCTGAGAATCCCCCGAGCCTGAACACAAAACAACCAATCAGAGCCGAGAAAAGACATTTGAAAGATGAGTCTCATTCCCAGGTCTTCAGATACCAATGTTTTGGGTCGGTGGCTTGAAGCTTTGTGACCCAATGTTATTTTTTTTGTATAAAGGTTACCTATTGCAGCTTTGCAACAGCCAGCAACCAGTTAGCTTAACTAAATCCACCTACCAGCACCTCTAAAGCTCACTAATTAATGTGTTATATCTGGATTGTTTAATCCGTACAAAAACAAGTGTAAGAGTAAAAACATTTGTGTGCCGTTTGAGTGTTTGTACTAATTAAACAAAATAGATAAAAGATATTAATTAGAGATCTCTTGAGGTGCTGGTAAAAGAGGTAATATTTTGTTAACCAGCTAACCTGGTCAGCTGCTGTCTCCAGGTACATATTTAACAGACATGAGAGCTCATCTAAACTAACGCTCCACCAAAAAGCACATTTGTGTTTCGCAAAATGTGGAGCTACTCCAGCACCAGACGGGTAATACAAGGTCGACGCTGGTTTGTTTCTAACTCAAGGGCAACTGAACGGCGAGGATGCACAAATCCTGGCTGTGCAAGTCATTAATAAACATCTGTAACCTCTAATGTCCTGGATAACAGAAGAGGATGACAGACCTTCATAACTACTGTTTAACTGTTTGAAACCTCCAGAGAGGAAAACAAAATCCTTTTTTTCCTTCAAGTAAAATGTGGTTATTTCACTCCTGTTTTGGTCTGATCACACTACGCTGCCAAAATAAAGCGAGAGCAGTGTGAAATCTCATGCTGAAATGGGACGTTACTATAAATATTAGCCCACTTTGTGAACGGAGAGACCTGCGGGAGAGAAACGTGCCATACAACAACACACAAGGGTAAAGGGCTTTCAGATGTGGGCTTGTTTCAGCTGCTATTTTCTTCAGCTTCCATAACATAATACATGACTCAACTTTAGTAATACAAAATATGTTATATACAGGTAATTAAATAATGAGATTGGAGTCTCTACTCTGATCAGCCTGCAAAAATGACTCTCCTGCATTTACACTTCAGAAACTGTTACACACTTATAGTGAGAGGGTAGTTATTCAAGTACACATTACATATGACTATCCCCCTCTAGTGGTCACAATCAAGTCCTGCCACTGGTAATGTAACTGTGAGTGTACTAGAGGATATTAAAGGCATAACAGAGACAAAACATCTACTGCTTTTGAGTCACTTAAAGTAGAATAAATGTATAGTTTATAAATAAGAGGGTTTAGGATGCTTTTCTCTGTTGTATCTCAGCCCCACTCCATGATTTAGGTATACAAGATGGCATTTATTTTTAGATATAAATCTTGCCAAATCTTCACAGGTGACTGCATTTATGGGACAATTGGAATGCGGTGGTGCTGCAACATTCAATAACACCAGATGGTATCAATTGAAAGCGTTGTAGTTAAAATGTGTATCAATACAAACATTTTATAAGCTAGGTGTTACTCAGCTGTCATAAAA